TGAAGCCATCTGATCCTGGACCCCCCCGGGCTCTTCTGCAGCCATTTCCCACATCAGCTCTAGGGCTTGAGCAAAAATTGGGGGGTCTGGCGGCAGCTGCTGGGCACACGTGGGGGCCGGCGGGTCCCGGTGGGCACTTGGGGGGGCCCTGGTGGGCAGCAGGGGGGGGGCAGGCTAGCAGAACTCGGAGGAAAGAAGGATGAAGTCATCCAAGGAACCCGAGCCCGGGCGGCAGCGCGCGGCTGAGCCCTCCTCGCTCCTTCCCTTTTCCCGGCGAAACAAGAGGGGAAAAAACAAACAAAAAAACAAAGAAAAGAAGGGTTTGGTGAGTGGCTGAGCCAGAGACACCCCCCCCCAAAAAACCCCACGGCGCACCCTGACCTGGGGGTCCTGTGGGAGCACCCCCCAGGATGCATCTATGGAAGGGGGGAAACGCAGCCCGAGGGCTCCTCGGCACAGAGCTCCGAAACGAGGAGAGAAAACGAAGGAGCGGCGGCGAGACCGGGGTGCCACGACCCCCCACCCGCAGCGACAGACCCCCCCACGCTGGGCCACAGCCTCGGTGACAAACTCCCCCCCCAGCTGGGCCACCAATGGCCCCCTTTGTGGCCACGGGCGAGCGAGCGTGGTCAGATCGCGGCAACGGCGACGTCCGGCAGCCAAAAGATGCCACGTTGGGGATGCGGATAAAATGGGGGGGGGGCACTTTGTCCCTTTGGTGTGGGACAAGGGGGGCTGCAAGAACCCCCCCGTGATGCCCCTCAGAGCTTCCACCTCTCGGATGGAGTAGGATCCATTCGCCCACGGCTCCTCCAGACCCCAATTATCCCCGAGTCCAGCCCAAACCCCACCGATGCCCCCATCCTCGCCCGGAGAGGGGGTTCACGGGGAGCCCCCCCCCCATTTTACCTGCTGGTACTGCAGGATGCCCTCCTGCTCCTGCTGCATCCTCCACAGCTCCGTCTCGTCGGGTTTGTAGCCGCCGGGGACCACGTAGTCGTCGGGCCGGTCGGTGCTGCACATCTCACAGCCCGGCCGCGTGGGCTTGTTGATGAAAGTGCATTTTGGACACGACCAGCCCGTCTGCGGGGGGGGCACAGCAGGAAAAACGGGGTGAAAAAACCCCTCTGGAGAGAGGGAAAAACCAGGGGGGAGCACCCACCCCTCACCGCGGGCCACCTACCGGCACGGGCGAGGGCAGGTTGGTGGAAGGGGGCTGGGGTTGGCCACCAGAAAGGTCCCCCATCTGCAGCGCCTCCAGGTGCTGGCTGATCTCGGAGATGTCCATCCTCCTGCTGCCACCTTCCCCCCCACCTGGAGGAAAAAAGGGGGGGAAAAGGGATGTTACAGCCCGCCCGGGGACCCTGCCGTGCTGGGGGCAACCTCTTCACTCCAGGGTGGTCCCTGGATGGTCCCATGGATCCTGGGGACCACCCCACGGCACTGAGCCCGCTCCCGGCCCCATGGAGCCCAATGGCTTCCTGGGCAAGGACCACAGGTCCTGGGGACCCCCCCATGGAGCCCAAGGGCTTCCTGGGCAAGGACTACAGGTTCTGGGGACCACCCCATGGAGCCCAAGGGCTCCCTGGGCAAGGACCACAGGTCCTGGGGACCACCCCATGGAGCCCAAGGGCTTCCTGGGCAAGGACCACAGGTCCTGGGGACCACCCCATGGAGCCCAAGGGCTTCCTGGGCAAGGACCACAGGTCCTGGGGACCACCCCATGGAGCCCAAGGGCTTCCTGGGCAAGGACCACAGGTCCTGGGGACCACCCCATGGAGCCCAAGGGCTTCCTGGGCAAGGACCACAGGTCCTGGGGACCACCCCATGGAGCCCAAGGGCTTCCTGGGCAAGGACCACAGGTCCTGGGGACCACCCCATGGAGCCCAAGGGCTTCCTGGGCAAGGACCACAGGTCCTGGGGACCACCCCATGGAGCCCAAGGGCTTCCTGGGCAAGGACCACAGGTCCTGGGGACCACCCCACAGCACTGAGCCCACTCCCAGCCCCACGGAGCCCAAGGGTTCCAGAAGAAGTGGCCCAGGGTGGATTTTGGGGTGGATTTGGGATCCTGGGGACCACCCCACAGCACTGAGCCCACTCCCGGCCCCACGGAGCCCAAGGGTTCCAGAAGAAGTGGCCCAAGGTGGATTTTGGGGTGGATTTTTGGAGGAAAGAACAAAACGACAAGAAGGACAGAGAAGGGAGTCCCCCTGGAGCCCAAGGGTTCCAGAAGAAGTGGCCCAAGGTGGATTTTGGGGTGGATTTTTGGAGGAAAGAACAAAACGACAAGAAGGACAGAGAAGGGAGTCCCCCTCCCTCCAGCACCCCACAAGTCCCCCCCACTGGTGGTGGTGGGGAGGGGTGGAGAAGACCCACCATGGATCCTGGGGACCACCCCACGGCACTGAGCCCGCTCCCGGCCCCATGGAGCCCAATGGCTTCCTGGGCAAGGACCACAGGTCCTGGGGACCACCCCATGGAGCCCAAGGGCTTCCTGGGCAAGGACTACAGGTTCTGGGGACCACCCCATGGAGCCCAAGGGCTCCCTGGGCAAGGACCACAGGTCCTGGGGACCACCCCATGGAGCCCAAGGGCTTCCTGGGCAAGGACCACGGATGCTGGGGACCACCCCATGGAGCCCAAGGGCTCCCTGGGCAAGGACCACGGATGCTGGGGACCACCCCACAGCACTGAGCCCACTCCCAGCCCCACGGAGCCCAAGGGTTCCAGAAGAAGTGGCCCAGGGTGGATTTTGGGGTGGATTTGGGATTTTGGAGGAAAGAACAAAACGACAAGAAGGACGGAGGAGGGAGTCCCCCTCCCTCCAGCACCCCACAAGTCCCCCCCACGCGTCCTCCCCCACTGGTGGCGGTGGGGAGGGGTGGAGAAGACCCTGACCTTTTTTTGGGGAGCTGTTGGGCAGGGTGTTGTACTGGCGCCCGTCGCCGGTGGCCTTGGGGGGCGAGGAGGTGGACTGGAGCACGAGCTGGGCCTGGTCCTCCTCGTAGCGCTGCTGGGTGAGCTCGGCCATCTTGGCGGAGAGGAGGTAGAGGAAGGCGGTGTCCCCGTCCCCGCGGATGCCGTAGGAGGAGACGGTGCGCTCGTCCACGCACAGGCACTGCCCGATGATCCAGCGCTGCACCAGCGGGTGGAAACCGTAATCCTGGAAGACCTGGGCAGGGGGAGAAGCTGGGAGGTGAGGCCAGAGCTTCTCCACAGCTTCTCGCCCTGCCACCAGCCAGGAGAAGTGGTGAAGAACTGGTGGGGAACCGGTGACAAAAAAAAGTGAGGAACCCGTGAAAAACTGGTGAGGAACCAGTGAGGAATCAGTGAAAAAATGGTGAGGAACCAGTGAGGAACTGGTGAAAAACTGGTGAGGAACCAGTGAGGAATCAGTGAAAAAATGGTGAGGAACCAGTGAGGAACTGGTGAAAAACTGGTGAGGAACCAGTGAGGAATCAGTGAAAAAATGGTGAGTGAGGAACCAGTGAAAAAAAATGGGTGAGGAACCAGTGAGGAACTTGTGAAAAACTGGTGAGGAACTGGTGAAAAAAAAAAAAAAAATAGGCGAGGAACCAGGGAAAAAAAAAGGCGAGGAACCAGGGAAAAGCTGGAAAAAAAAAAAAAAAAGGTGACAAAATTGTGAGGAACGGGTGAAGAAAAGGTGAGGAACTGGAGAAAAATTGGTGAAAAACTGGTGAGGAACTGGTGAAAGAACACAGGTGAGGAACCAGTGAAGAAACAAAGGTGAGGAATGGGCTCCAAATGGAGAGGAGCAGGAGGGAGACCCCAGCTCCCACACCACAGGGATCAGCATTTAAATAAAAAGGGACGTGGGGGACACCCTGGGGGTCCTGTCCCCACCATCCCGGCTGGGGGGTGACACCCTGGGGCCCTCCCTACCTGCTGCTTGAGCGTTGCGATGGTAGTGTGAGCACGGACCCTGATGGTGATGCTGGCAGAAGACGTGGCGTCCTCCACCACCACCTTCATGCTGGGGAAGGAGAGGGATGCTGTTAGAGGGGGGCTGCCAGCCTTGGGGGTCCCACCACTGGGGCTGGAGGGGTGGTCCTGGCATCTAGGCCAGGTTGGACGGGGCTTGGAGCAACCTACTCTGGTGGGAGGTGTCCCTGCCCATGCTGGGGGGTTGGATTTGATGTTCTTCAAGGTCCCTTCCCACCCAGACCATTCCATGATTCCATGATCTTGGCTTGGAGAAGGACAAGGGCCGGAGGAGCTCACCTGATGTCCTCCGTGGGGTAGTTGGACTCCCTGAAGAGGATGGTGAGGGTGGCTTGTTGCCGAGCCAGGGCCACAGCGCACCGGGCGGCCACCTCCTCGTCCCCGTACTCGATGGCCTGGGCGAGGTGGAGGGCCATGTCCTCTGCGGCGGGGGGGTGGAGAAGGAGAACCATCAACACCCTCCCTGGGGCACAGCCTGACCGTGGCCACCCACGGAACTGGCCAGGCCAGCACCCAGAGGGGACAGAGACCGTGTCTGCCACAGCTTCCCTCTAGAAACAGCACATCTGGTTCAGTTCAGCCCAGAAACAGCTGTTTCACAGGTGGCCAAGGTGGCAAGAACCCCCTGGCTTGTGTCAGGAAGAGTGTTGCCAGCAAGACTGGGGCAGTGATGGTCCTCTGAACTGGTGCGGGAATATTTGGTCCAATTTTGGGCCCCTCACGACAAAAAAAAGCCATGGAGGGGCTGGGGCGTGTCCAGAGAAGGGCAACTGGGCTGGGGAGGGGTCTGGAGACCAAGGAGAAGGGGCTGGAGAACTTGTGAGGGAGCTGGGGGGGTTCAGCCTGGAGAAAAGGGGGCTGAGGGGAGACCCCATGGCTCTCTACAGCTCCCTGAAAGGAGGGGGCAGCCAGGGGGGGGCGGTCTCTTCTCCCAAGGAACAAGAGGAAACGGCCCCAAGTTGGGCCAGGGGAGGGTTGGGATGGAAACTGGGGAAAATTCCTTCCTGGAAAGGGCTGTGAAGCCTTGGCAGAGGCTGCCCAGGGCAGTGGTGGAGTCGCCATCCCTGGAGGGATTGAGAAGCCGGGCAGACGTGGTGCTGAGGGACATGGTTTATGGTGGTTTTTGTTTTTTTGGTTGGTGTTGGGTCCATGGTTGGACTCCATGAGCTGAGGGATCCCTTCCAACATCAGTGATTCCAGGATTCCATGACAAAAGAGCTCATTCCCAGCCCCAGCTGGGGGAAGCAGCTGGACCTGGGTCTGAGCCATCTCCCACGGGGGGCTGGGACCTCCTGGGGGTACCAAAGCTGCTGAGAAACCTTCCCCCCCACCCTCAAATACCTTTCTCGGCGATCTCCAGGGTCTCCGGATCCTCATCTCCACAGAGGCCCCCGGCAGCCTGGGGCAGGGAGGGGGCCTGGGATGCCAGCAGGCTCTCCAGGGCTGGGGGAAGGCAGGGACACATCGGTGTCACCCCCCCACCAAGCTGCCACCATCACCCACCGCCCTCCCCGAGGAGGAGAAGATGCTCCAGGAAGCCCTGAGCGACCCCAGGCGAAGGTAACAGCCACCCAAACCCACCTCCCAGGGGCTGGAACCTCAAAGAGCAGTGGGGGTGACAGCCACCCTCTCCGTCCCACGCCACCTCCTGTCCCCTGGGGTCCCCCTCGGATGCTCCAGCGCACACAGGGACCCCCCCAAGATGTTGAGGAGTTAAAGCCATGGAGAAGGAAGGGGCTGAGATGCTGCCCCGCTTCTCAGAGAGCCAGAAGCAGCCGGTATCACACCCCCCAAATTATTTCGGAGACCAGGACCAGCCTTGTCACCCAGTTGGGGACACCCCACCAGCCCTGGGGTGGCCGCCCCCACCTTTCTCCACCTCCCGCAGGGAGCTGCTGACGATGGTCCACCACTTCTGTGCCTCCCGCTCCTCCTCGAAGCTGAAGACCATGGGCCGCTCCGAGGAGGTGAGGACCATCAGCTCGTGGCACGTGGGGCTCCTCACCTTGTAGGAGATGTCCTTCAGGTCATATTCGGCCATGTTCTGGGGGGAGAAGAAGGAGGAAGGGGGTCACACCACGGCAAAGATGTGCTGCAGGCAGATGATGCAAGGGGACAACCCCCCAGCAGGGGGTCTGGGCCAGGACCTGGGGGACACGGGGCTGTCCCTCTTCCCCACAAGGGTTTCACTGAAGGCTTTGGGTGTGAAGGGACCTTGAAGACCATCAAATCCACCCCCCTGCCCTGGGCAGGGACACCTCCCACCAGCCCAGGTTGCTCCAAGCCCCCTCCAACCTGCCCTTGAACCCCTCCAGGGATGGGGCAGCCACAGCTTCTCTGGCCAACCTGGGCCAGGCTCTCACCACCCTCAGGGGGAAGAATTTCCTCCCCACATCTCACCTCAATCTCCCCTTTTTCACCTTAAAACCCTTCCCCCTCATCCTATGGCTCCCCTCCTTCATCAAGAGTCCCTCCCCAGGGCACACACCCCCCTAAACACACCCCTCCTCCCACATTTGTCCCCTCCCCTCTCTCAAAACCGAATCTCAGGAGACAACTGAGACCACTCGGGCTCCGTGACACCAGCTTTTGAGGGGAAATCAGTTCCTTCCCCACACACTCCTGTACTTCCCCCCCCAGCTCCCCACCCCAGCCCTTCCTGGGGGGGCCCCGGTCCTGCTCCCCACCCCTGGGAAACACCGGTTTTGGCTTCACGCCGGGGCGTTCTCTGGTGTTTCTGGTGAAATGGCAGGTGGGGGGGGA